AATTACAAGCACTTGAAACTTGTCAACTTATATTTCAAGGTAACGATGGGCGCAATTCATTGACTCTTAGATCTTTGCGATTTAAAGCTCTGATTGGCACTCCAACTGCTATGGATAGGCATGTCGCTTACAACAAGGCCCACGACTTGTTCGTACCGTCACGTGATATCACAAAGTTACTAGAGTTAATAAAGCACAAAGCCGATGAAAATTATTTAATTGCTATCTAAATATTGATATTTCATAATTGATTGTAAACATTTCATACATCATCCCTTAATATTTACATTAAAAACACTAATAAAAACGAGGAAATATTTGATTTAAATGTGTAACTAAATCTCAAACTCAAATATGGCTGTGGGATTGGTAAGAATGGATTTCCGAATGTGAAGGAGAGTGAGATGATATGCATGAATACTATTCGAACGAGCTAATGAGTGAGATGATTTGAGCAAATATTTGAATCAAGAATGAGTGGTTGTGAATGAGTGGACGATGTGTGATTGGAACGTGGAGTAGGACGTCTGCTAATTGATAAAGTTGAAATTTCTAGGGAAATGAAACTATTTTTCCGGATTTAATTGAAGTTTATTGTTTTTTTTTTTTGTAAAATGCGTTTAATAAAAAGGTTCGTTTTACAATTTGTGGTCGTAATTGAAGTTCTCCTGATTCCAACATATCTTTACTCAAAAACAAATTGAACACTGTTACTCATTCGTAAGGCTGATTCCCCTGAGACGAATGATTAAGGGGGGGTTGCTCTTTATAAATAATTATTTATACACATTTATTATTTACAGTATTTAGGTATATCAAATATCATAGATTGAAACAACAATAGCTAAACATGTCACTACCACGAATTTTGCCATCAATGTCCGCAGGCGCTGTGTAATAATTAACCTTTCCGGTAAAGTTTTTGTTTCTCTATAGTTTTATCAATGGTAAATTTTGAATATTAATTGGAATATTATTATTGAAGTATTATTGCACCTTGAATGAATTTGTGACACCGACTATGACAAACTTGGTATTATTCAACTACTGTAGCTACTTCTTGTGCATATTCCGCTTTAGATATCATTTGTATTTAAAGCAGAATAGGTACCGGTTTGGTTCAATTTAGTTTGAAGGCATAAAACACATTTTGCATTGGAATATGTTAATTGACAATTGCAACTACACGATACCAAAGTTACAATAGAAAAACAGAAACAATAGTCAAATGGAATAAAAAGCGCCAAAAAGTACATTTAAATTTAGAACTTCAATCTATAACTAAACTGCTAAAAGACTTAAAACATAATGTAACATAAAAAAGATTTGTAGCGACTGCTGCAGTAAAGTATAAAAATAAAATTTAAAAATGTTAATATGTAGCACTGCTTACTGGGCAAACTGTATACACATCCCTCAGACACTGAGGAAAAATATTTCAAATATTGTAGATAGAACCAGTTTGCTCTATATATTACAGTCGAATTTTGAAAGAAAAGTTTTGTTACTGTTTAAATTTTTCGATTACATTAGTTTAAAATTGATTATTATTTAAAATGTATAAATCCCTCTAAGATTTGCTATGCCCTTACAGGGTGTCACATGCATGATACTATCAAATTTAATAATGTGTAACAACTTGTATTGCCTGCAAATATTGTGACTTTCGCAAATAAATTGTTTGTTTGACTTTGAAAGCAAAATACCCATTTATAAACATCTTCAAAACTGACTGTGGTTCATTTGGTTATGATAAGAATGTAAACTACGTAGTTGTTGTTACAGTTGTAGGTTGCAAATTTGGTACAGCTCCAGCAAATTGCACGAGGACAAGCTCATAAGTTATTATAGTACCTGTAATCTAAAAATAAAAAATATTTATATGAAGAATTTAAAAAGAACTAAATTTTGAACATATAATGTAGTGTTATTACCTTCCCGTCCGCGCCGGCCCGCCGGCCCTAAATGTCCTACCTAAGTATCAATATATTACAAACCTAAGTATTCTAAGATGTATTTTGACCTCTATGACCTAATGGTTGCACTGTGGGCGCTGAGTGTGCAAGTTCCAGATTCCATTCCCAGTTAGACTAATTTGTAATATGAACTTTTTAAATTGATTCTGGTCCGGTAATTATGGACCCCGAGTAAATTCCATTGCTGATACTTACTTACCTACATGGAATTCCCTAATTTGAGATAACGTTCTTGATGCGGTTATCTGAACAAACACAAATCTTAGATTTAAATTAATCTAACGTAATCAATTCAATATAACCTTAATTCAAAAATTCCCATACACATTCAGTTAAAACAAGTATACACAGCGCGGAAATGAAAATGCTAAGATGGGCAGGCGGCGTTACAAGACTAGCCCACCTCAAAAACATGTATAATAAATAATACTTTCGGCAAGTTGGTTGCTCTGAACTGTCTTCAGGTGTCGTTGTAAATCACTAATTAATTACCTATTTTTACCATTATTGAAATTTTATGCTATCGTTGCTAATTGTTATTATTATGCTGCAACGCCTCTATGTACCTCAGTTGTTGGTTACTTTAATATTTTGTCTTTGGCTATAAAATAATAAAGAAAGAATAAAGAAATTGAAACATACTTATAAATATTGAATTATTTATAAATGTGTTTCAATTTCTCCCACAAACACCTACTTCAGAGACAGTTTAAAAGTGAGGCTTATCCCGAAAAAGTTGCTAGAGAGCTTACTTGTGACGTTTGGACATGTTATGTGACGACCGCCTGATCATATGACAAGGAAAGTCCTTGACATGAGTAACCAGCCCAAGATATAGTGATACACCCCGCCTTATATGCATATTTCTTATTGCTAAAGATCTGCGAGTGCAACAGTTAAGACCACAGACGACCCAGGACAGACCATTTTAGAGAAGAGTGTCCAGAAGGGCCGACCCCAAAAAAATGGGAATAAAAGTCCAGGCAAAAGAAGAAAAGACTTACAGTTAAAACAAGTCCACGTTTTACATTAAAAAATTGCATTCCAGTCAATGCTACCTCGTCACCATGTACTTGATTTAGAAATCTTTGTACCTGCAACCCAAAATTTGAATAAAGTGCCAAATCTATGATATACATAATGCTAGTGTCATAATAATCCAACGCACTTCCTCTAACTCGCTGCAATAAGAAGATGAAGGAATATCATATAAGTAATCCGCTGGGATTCGACTTGCAGTATGAACTTTAGATGTAATCAAAGAAACTGCTAAGGATCGCCCAAGCAGAAACGCGAAGGAATATACAAAGTATACTGCTTGGCTGTAACCTTGCATTGGCCTGAAATAGAAATTGATTTTATTACATTTTTATGACTTTGTATTTGTCGTTTCACAGACAAAACATCATTTTACGAAACTGCGTGAAAATGGTAGTATTTATTTCAAAACTAGGTTGGCCATTTTTATTGAAAAAGTCGTATCACTAGTTTGCCACCCTTAGAGGTGGAATATTTTCTTCATATTTAAAACAAGAATCTACATACATAAAAAAATCTACGAAAACAAGAATCATTCAAAATCTGTTCACAAAAATTATGGCGTAACGTACATACAAAAAAAAAAAACAGTCGAATCGCAAACCTCCTAAATTTTTTTGAAGTCGGTTAAAAACACGATGCGACTTATTTCTGCCTAAGACAAATTCCCAATATATATATATATATATATATATATATGTATACATATATAAAGCCGAGGCTTTAAGCCGTAACGCGTCAGGAATGTCCCATTATTGTTGTTTAAATTAATCGAGCATACTGGTTAAGGCGAAATGGTATCGTGGTTGCGTAGGCTTCTAGCTCAACTTCAATATGCGGATAAATTCATTAGACGATATTTATATATGATATAAATATCAATATTTATATATGATATAAATATCGTCTAATGAATTTATCCGTGCTCTTTACTAGCTCATAATCCTCTGACGCATTCATTGCGGAACACGACCAAGAAAATTTTGTTCAAATATTCTAATAACAATCGAATGAAGCTGATTTTTCGATTGACCAAAGACGTAAAAATTTAAAAAGTTTCGGAACTTTGTGACTTTTATAGTCGCTTGAAATTTACTTAATCGTGTTTAGGACTTCATCTTCTTCTTTGTTTAGTATCTTCTGTTTTCATTATCAATAAAAAAAATTGGATTCATATTTTTTAATGTTGAAAACCCGATTTTCGAACTGTGCTATGACAGTTAATATTCTTAGCAGCTGGAATGGTTCACCGATCACCAAACTGTAATTTCCGAATTGACTGCAGCATGCAGAAAGGACGTAATGTATTGTTTTTAATACTGTTATGTCACATTGTACAACAAACGACAGAAAGGCGAAAATGTGAAAAGTAATATCTAAGAAAACTAAAAATTTCATTAACTGAGATCACCAAAGACACATACTAGTTACCGTATCATTAAATAATGTTTTCACTATATTACTTTTTTAATAAGACGACGTAGTTAAGAGTCAGCCATATTGTTCACGACATTTGTTGCCTTTTGTCTTTGTTTGATGCCTTTCTTGAAAAAGAAAACTCCGAGAAGAAGGAACTATTTCTCCGGAATAATCGATTCATCCGCAATTTAATATTAATAGACGCAAAAAAGTATACTAACATATGTATTAATTAAATTTTATACAACAATATTTATTGTTTCATTGTATATCGGCTGCTATTAACGCCAGTAATGCTAAATGACATATTTGCTTTATAATAGGTTAAGAGGTTAGAGGTCGGATTAATTGACCACAGATGAGAAGAGCAATACCTAAAATCAAATTTCGTCATCAAAATGTATATGTACCAGCTGCCAAACCAAGAACAAGAACACAGACTGCTTTACAGTTTCTTGTCAGATTTTTGTCTCTAGCAGTTCCATAACGAAATTTTCGCTGTGAATTTCAACGTTAAACGTACTAATTTTGTATGCTTTTAAAAATTGACTAATTTCAATTTTATACTTACTCAAGAGTGTGCAAAAGTTGCATACAGATAATGAAGAGGTTCACAGCGTAAGATACGAAAATGACACCGTTGACGTCTTCGTCAATCTTCCGTATTAGACAAATGATCCTACTGTAATCCTCACGCACAGTTCGATAAAACGATGAAGGTGCGTACTGAAATGTGGGAAGGTAAAAAATTATACAAAAACAAAGACGGATGGTTAATGTTGTAACTTTAACATTGTTATAATTATAACAACAAAGATCGAACACTTAAAAATAATCCTTCAATCCGGCTGGATTCGAACTAACGTCTCCTAGTAAACCGTGCTAAGAGTTCTATTGCCGTTTCCCGTCCGACATCAGTCCGAAAGCTCGACCAAATCAAAAGATAATGTAAAGTATGAAGCTTCATTCGCATCATGCGTCAAGTATTACTTATTTGACTGTAATTGTTACGGACGGGTATTGGACGAATAACGGGAGTAAGCCTCTAGCCACCTAAGCTTAGCTGGTATGGCATCTAGCACAGTTTCAATTCATGGTACGAATCCAGACAGATCGAAAGATTTTTTCTAAATGTTCGATCTTTGTATTAATAAATGGTAACAAACTAGTGTAGTAATTTTACAAAAAAAATATTGAATATCAATGTGGTGAAACATCCTAACATTCAATAAACTTAATTTTAATATGTTGTCGATGAAATAGAGTAATTTTGTCGACAATAGACTTGTAATTATGGCTGTACAATTTATAAATATTGTTCTTCGGTTGGTAGCTGTTATGAAAAAGTTCTTGAAATAAACTGAAGTGAAAAAAAGTACCTACGTATTTAATACAATTAATTAACAATTAAGTATTTAACAAAAAGCTGCAATAGTGATAAATATATTTAAAAAAAAACATATTGAACGAAATGGGCATTAAACTGCTAAAAAAAGATTTTTTGGCCTACCTTTCCTTGCACAGCAATGATTCTGTCATTAATTTGTTGGAGCCTGGCTGTCAAGTAAAAACTGATGCACATTACAAAAGCATCAGCAAAATTCCAGTTGAAGGTGCATTGAATGCTTATAATCTGAATATAGATAAGAAATATTTAAAAAAACATGGTTTGCAAGAAATATGAAAGAATATATCCAAGTCTTTTAGGTTATGTTGTGATTAATTTTGGAACTGATTAGAATGATGCTACACGACAAAGCGGGGAGGGGTTACGTCATAGAATAATAAATACTGCAGAAGTGCTTTGTTTGCGCGGCACGTGAGCCAACAGTTCGCGAAGTTCCGCAAACTTGAACTCAGTCCGCACTTTTCGCGTACGTACGTTGTACGATATGGTCGTGTCAATTCTCTCGCGTAAAGCCTCGAAAATCGCAGAAAATGCCTTATTTCGATGCTTTAGAGTGCAAAAATGATAATCTCATCTGTAATATCATTTATGGTGGTGTTTCCTATAATCATTTTTAATTAAATCATTTTACCAAATTTTAAATTTTCTGTTTCCCGTATTTTTTTTTTTGTTACAAGAAACGACAATAAACGTTATACCGCTATAATATGGTCGTTTTTTTTTTGGAGAACTAAGTAGCAATATCTCGAATTTGTCATCCATCGTTCAGCTATTAACTGCTAGATGGCAACACATTGATTGAAATATCAATATAAAATCAAAACATCGTAACTTGCAAAAAAGGTATTGATGGTATTGCACTTTCAATGATATGCCTACTGGGTAGAGTTTAAATTATTTAATCAGTCCAGAATTTAAGTATTTCTTTTAAAATTTGAAACTACGACCAATCATTATCAAGATTTCATAGTGTTTCAATTTATGAATATATGAGTTTTGGCGACAGCGGTTCTGATAGTAATGGAGGCTTAAACCGATACCGTTGTTTTTTTTTTCTTCCGCGTTTATGTTGGGCATTGCTCGTGTGGCACAGGCAGTGCACGGTCCATGTGACATCGTTCTTATTTGGACTTATACATATCTAAAGGAATTCTAAAAAAAAATAATTATGTTAACAATGTCCATTTGAACCACTAGGGACACATCAGCAGGGCTAAAACGGCCGTATTGGCAGAATCATATATTATGATTAATTGACAATTCATACTATAAATTTTCAAACAAAACAAAAAACCCAATTCATCAATTTGATAGTGTTCTATGGAGGTCCCCATAGAATAGAAAACAAAAACAAACCAAAGAATACAATTCATCTATTTGACAGTGTTCTATGGAGATCTCCATATAGGTCTCCAAATAGATTAATTGTGTTTTTTGTTTTGTTTGAAATTTCATGATATGAATTGTCAATTAATCATGTTATGATTCTGCCAATGCGGCCTTTTTACCACCAGAACATTTAATTTTAAAAAAGAATTATTTTAAACGCTTTTGATTTTGATTAAACGTTATGGTATATGTGTCCTACGTTTCATATGAACGTTGTTATAATAATTCAACCTATTTTTAGCGTTCTTCTATCTATGAATATACAGTAAAACTATATTGTTAGTTATAAAATAGTGTAAATTTCTGTTACCTTTAACAGAAACCCAATTATAGGGTTATAAGGAATGTATGTCCAGACAAAGGAGTAACACTGCCTCATGTAAACTTCATAAATAGGTGAATTTGGCTGATAGTCCATTGCAAAAGCTACTCCCGAAACATCTGATAGGATATGTTCAACTGCAAATTAGGCATAAGAGAAAGTATTTATTTCTACAAAATAGAGTCAATGGTGTTAATATACAAGTTATCCCACGGATATGCCACATGGAGGGAAAGTACCTTAAATACCATAGATAGAAAATCTTACTAAAAGAAGACTTCATTTTGATTTTAAAACCAATTCGAACTGCATTCATAGATTTTTAAATAATTGCCTGTCTGAACCGGGATGTCGAAACCACTTACAGGTTTTTTTTTACATTAAAAAAAAACCTGTAATATTACTAAACTTATCAAAAGCCACAATCACAAGGATTGTTTTCTTCTATGTAACATAACATCGTAAATAAAAGGAATACCATGAAATCTAACATTTAATTTGAAATTTTGTTCAGGAAAATGAATCTGTCAAGGATTTAGTTTACAGGAAACGGTGTACGACAATGTGCAGGAGTTACAAACTTAATTTAGCTGTATTATTTGAAACATTCACCATGAAAAGATAAATAAATCAACGGGTTGTGAAAATATCAAAAGAGTGAGAATTTGTATACTACAGAATGGGACACATTTTGAGCATTTGATAACTTGAATTGATTTTATGTTGCAATTTATGTACCAATTTATTTAAACTAAATATTAAATTTCGTGGTCTTCCTTTTGTTTAAGATGCTGTGTTATTTAGAAGAAAACAATCCCTATGATTGAGGCTTTAGATCAGTATAGTAAAACTGCAGGTTTTTTTTACATTTAGTGGGTTCAGTTCCCAATTCAGACAAGCGATTGTTTAAAAATCTTTGAATGCTGTTCGAATTGTTTTAAAATCAAAACGAAGTCTTCTTTCAGTAAAATTTTATATCTACATCTAAATTTTATATACAGGAACTAGTAAATAGTACCATTCACATTTTGTTACAAATGAAGAATCTTATTTATTTAATTAAGGGCAATTTCATAGGGGATTTCGTGTAATATAATTATCGAACGTTGCATATAATTAGAATCTTCTTCTTATCGTTTCGGTGGCATATACTATAATGCTTGCCATCTAGGTGAAAGCATCTGCCAATCGGCGTTAAGTATTCGCTGATTGTTGCCTAGGACACGGTTCCGTCACTCGCTCAAGGTTACGCGTTAACTGCCTACCGCTGAGCGTACCGACGTCGGCACAAGTGCTCATACAAGTTTTCATTTATGAGCATTCGGCTCCGCACGACTGCATATGGCGGACGACGTTATTTTCGACTCTTTGAGCGCGTGTTTCGGTTCCTTTATTCTCGCAGTGATCGCCTGCTGTCATTACTCAGTTTTGGTAGACTATTAGCGTAGGTGTTTACAATTTTATATGAGAGTGATGCTTATGTTATGTAGTAACTAACTATTAAGTATATGTGCCCAGAAAGCGTCAAACAAACTGGAGGCACCTTTCGTGCACCTAATTGGAATCTTCAAAACAAATTTTCAGGTTTATAGGGGCAGTGCATAAAATTGAACGTGAAATTTAAAAAATCATATTTGTTTATGATAATATCAAATAACGGAACGAACAAGTCTTGCATCTGGTGGTAACGGACACGCCTGTCCATGACAGTTACAGTGCCACTCAGAGATTTAAATCGCAAAGATCTGAGGGGCACCTCCTCTGCGCTCGTCACCCTGTGAAATAAGTGGACAAGTCCCGTGTGCCTGTAATATTACCAGCACCTTTACCCTTCAAAACCGGAAAGTGGTAATGTGCATTATTTCTTGACGGCAGAAGTAGGCAAGGTGGCGGTGCTCCCCAGAACGAACTCTTTCACAACTTTTTTTTTTTTTGCTGCTACCAATAAAGAAATTAACAAAAGTTGTTTCTTTTAAAATATACGTTTAGAGGTTTTAGAATTAGTAGTCAAAGCCTTTGTCGATACGAGTCAGAACTAACTCGTATCAAGTCTCGCCACCAAAATATATACGTACCAGCTGCCAAACTAAGAACAAGAATACAAGCTATTTGACACTTTCTTGGCAGATTTTTGTCTCTAAGAGGATCCGCGGCTTCCGTCTTAGCTATATGCTTGCAAAGTTTTAGCCATTTTGTTGCCATTCGTAAAAACAACAGTCCTATTACAGTCGTCATGAAGTAAAATACTGTTACGGCTGAAACATAATAATACTCGTTACTTAAACGTGATAGAGTGCAAGCAGCTTTCGCATGTGTGGGTGTACTGAAAAACGTCCACTATGGTACAAAACAAAATATAAAACTCTCACCGTAGTATAAATAAGCAGTGGTCGGAATTGAGGGTAATAATTTACATGTGAACATATTCTTAGTATGGACATACCCATTTCGTCATCAATGCGTACAAAATTTATTTTTTAACCTACTTCAAAAAAAAGTTTATTAATTTTTGTTGGAAGGAGGGTACGTCAGTATTGGTTCCATTTAAATTTGAAGAAAATCTCTCTCTCTAAGGGTGGCAAACTAGGGGATGAATCCGATTTCACGCACTTTCCGGTAACTGATTTCAATAAAACTTGGCAAACAAATGTAATTTCACGAATTTTTGAGCTCGTTTTTTTGATTTGCTGTGTTTTCCTAAAAACATTCTCAAATATAGGTTGTCTCATGTTTATTTTTTAACTAGCTAAAGAATTCCAATACGTATGTACATACGTAATATGTATATTTAATATTATAAATATTTATAAACAAATACCTTTATAAACATTACGATACAATTTTTTGAGACAACAATTTGTAGCAAACACATGAATAGGAAAATAATAATATGTCGCCAATGTATTCAAAATTCGATAAATAATAATGCATATTCAAATATAATCAGTCCGAAGTCCCGGGTTTTCTAGAAGGGAATGTCCACGGTATTATTAAGTTTAGCTAAATTAACTCCCCCGATCACTGATAACAGACAACTATGGTAACTCCATAAAAGTGTAGCAGCGCGGTTTGTAAGTGTGCGTGCCCGCCGCGTGCCGTGTACGGATGCACACTTTTGCATAATTTTGCGATGCACTCGCATTGCATAGTCGTCTCACGCGCCTGTCATTATTATGCGAATGAGTGCGGGCGGTGTCAGTACACGGCGAGCGGCGGATGTGCACACAAGCAAGCCGCGCTGCTGCGTATGAATAGAGTTACCATTCTTGTCTTATGTACTACCGACTCCGAGATTAGAAATGTTTAGAGAAAGCTTGCATACGAAAACTAGGTATGTTTGTACTTCGTTATTTATAATTACCTGTGTAATGCCTATACTAACATCGTTTGTAATAAATAATTATCGATAGTATAGTACCGATGAGAGAGAGAGTATTAGGTACTATAATATGTTTAATAAATCCCTACAGTCCCCGGCTCCTCTGTTAAGAAAAAACAGCAATAACATTGCATCTTCCATGTGTGGTAAATTATGAAATGTCGTAATACTCACAGTTTTCTAAAAAAATAGTTTTTCTATTAAACATTTTTATAACAGAGAAAACAAGTAAAACGGTTTGACCAAAGATCGTTACCATGCTGAACAAATATCTTCGTGAACAATACGTAAAACTGCAAATATAAAAGAAAATTAATTAAAAAACATAGTAGTATGTCAAAATAAACCAGTAATTAGATCATACTTTTAAACATCAAATATCACAGTCAACTGAAGTATGATACAATAGACTGGCCTAGTGAAATGAGAGTGCAGAAGTCTCGGTCTACAAGATTTATTATAGGAAATGTTAAAACAGGAAAAGAAAAGGATGTAACAAATAAAAGGATATAAGAAAAGGTACAATTATTGTAAAAGACTCCATATAAAACTAACTAACACAATATACAATACTCACCCCAAAAGGGCCTGTATAACTACATAATTTTAATATTAAACGATGTGAAGTTTAACATAATGAAGATGATATGATTCATGGTCACGTCTTCGCGTTTCATGAATGTTCATGGTAATGACGACGGATAGAACAAACGTGAGAATAGTGAAAGCAAAGTAATTCGAGAACAATTCAAAATTGGAGAAATAAGTAGCCAGGAATCAGATAACAGTATGATAAAAAGTGAGATGACAATGAAGTAGATCAGCATCGTCACAGTGTGAGCCGTAATAATGCCAGAACATTTAGGCAATCTGTGTTCAATAACTTAAACTCACCTCAATTTCGAAGCATCAGTCCCACTGAATCCAATAACAGGAAACAAACCAAAACATTGTGCAATTATGATTGGTAGTTTCATCGCACTTTGAAAACTTGATTCAACTTTCTGCAGCTGTTCGTTTCCGGGTTCAACAATTTCCTTGTGGTGTCTTCTCGATAAATCTGAAAATTAATTCAGACATATAATCAAAAACATAAAAATAATACTTCACGACAGCGGCTAATTAGACTGACTAAAAGATAAATAAATGGAAACTTTCCCAAATAACAGAAACGGTAGATGTGACATATTCAATAACTACAAAGTAGGTACAAAAAATGTGTTATACCCATATCTGGAATTATTAATTAGTTAAGAACAATATTAAAAAATAAAGTTATATTCCTCTTGTGAATATACTTAAACGTAGCCCAGAACGAAGTCGGCTGTCAGTATTATTTAATTTATAAATGATGTTAGGTAGTTCCAATTCCAACAAATACGTAGTCCTGTCAACTAAAGATCTTCAAAAGATAAGATTGACAAATCGAAAAGTTTTGTTTACTAAGGTACCAAAAATATGTTCTGATCGATCGGAAAGATCATCTCGATGATCTTTATCAGTGAGAACGCCAACATTTCAACAAACTAACTACGCATGATTAAGAAAATATAAGAATGACTAAAACCATAACCGACATCTATAGCGTCCTTTGTTATTGAAAACATAATAGAATAAGAAAAACTCGAAGGAAATCCATGTTATTGGTAACTAATAAATAAAACTCCTTTATATAAGAATTAACAATTTTTTTAACGAATTTGATGAAGTTTTACGATCATGGTATCCATTATTTTTCTGTGAAATGAAAGTGAAGTTAAAATCCAAAGATTTATAACAAACGCAAAGAAAAATTCATGAGGTCTGATGACTCGTTCTGTAACTCGTTGGTAGAACGATTGCCCTAGATTGGCAAATCAGACACAGGCTCGAGTCCTGTCTAATCAAAGGAATTTTCTTAGTACTCGATCTTTATTGTTCATAATTAAAACTCATTTTCTCACTATACTGAAACTTACCTTTGTGCAATAATATATCAAAGTTTCTTTTAAAACTGTGAATTGAGAACAAATTCATGGTTCGCTCATAGTCATTGTGCTGACACTAAGGTGTATTTAACCTAGTTTACTCAAACGCAATTCACAGTATCCACAACTTTATTGAAAGTCCGCCTACGGAGCTATTGCTGTAGAAGTTTTTGTTAATTCAAGGAGTTTAGAAGAAGCATAAATATGGGTATTTTATTTCATTTATTTTTATTTACTAAGATTAAGATTTTTACATTATATATGCCCGAGAATTTTGCGATATATTATTTTTATAAAGATTTTTCTTTTGTATCATTGTCAAAAAGTTATGTTAAAACATTGAGGCTTATCTTCCGTAACTATTTAGATTTTATGCAGACCAGCCTGATTTTTTTTGTCTGCTTTTAGTATTATAAATGTGGTGTTAAACGTAAAAAAATATACGTCATCTATCAGTTCGTAAAAGATGTTTATCGGCTGATAAAAAGTACCGTCCTCCCACAAAACGTAAACAGTAGAATATATCAAATAAGATTGCATTATATAGAGAAATGCGTTTACAACCGCTAAACCTTAATAAGTAAGTTTGTTAATTGTTTGCACAAATATTCCATCAATATTCTTTTGTCTCTATCTTTCCATTAATTATACATCATGTATGTTAAATGATGAACAGTAAAACAATAGTATTTGAATGTAATAATTGTTATCACTTCAAACACTGCCAGATATGTCTGCACGAGGGCTGATGACCGATGGAGCCAAACTTCTAAAGTAGTGTAGCTCTTTTTTGCAGATGAGAGGTTAAAATGGTTATTACTCCTACCATCTAAAACCTCACGGTGGCCTTCTCGGATGCTCTAAGGGATCCAGGATCGACTTTGCGCACCGGACCCCCTCTGCATCTAGGACGAGCTATATCCTCTCCCACCCCTACTCACGAACCCCCTACCACGGGTGCCAAACTTACTGGCGAATGGAGCCACCGGTCCAATCATCCGCAACCTCGAAGGTACGCCGCCACTGAGCGGGATCGGCCCTCTCCCGATCACGGTCGGTGGCTTCCTTCTGGAGCATCACTGCTTCACAGAAGGAGGGCGGCCGACTGAGAGTTGTCGTGCTCAGGCAAAGGCTTATGTCTTACAGTGGATACATGTAAGCTGATGATGACTTCAAAAACAGTACTTAATTTTTTTTACCCAACAGATATCGTTTCACATCCATTTATTTCCATTTTGTTGTCAATGTGACTAATGAAGTAAAATAGCCTAGTACGCAATTGCGTAAAATATCACCTACAATTTAAATGAAAGCGCCTTTGGCTATATTCGTTAGTATAATTCGATTTTTTAAATTATGGCCTCATTCATATATAACTTTTTGCTTATAGGCATTCTGTTGAAACTGTTAGGTTTCGTCCATATTTTAAATTTAGTTTTTTTGTTCATTATAAATTCATATAATCACTGGTGGGCACTATCGCCTGGAAGATTTGCAGTCAAGTCCATCATGCTATTCTAACGCGACATAAGCCTTAATCTTAGTAAATTAAGATTAGTGCGAATCTACTCCGATATGCAATCAGCACGATATTTTCATGTACTGCTAGAGCAAGTGGATAGTAATGTATGTATTGTAGATCTAAAAACCCACTTCCACTTAAGTCCTTTACAACCTCACAAATGCCAAACATATGTACGCTAACATGTCAAATAAGTTTGAAAACGTGTGCCCAAAAACAAGATATTATTTGTTTAATTTGTTTCTTGTGACTCAATCAGGTCATAGTAAAATAACTTTGATCTATGTGAAAACATTCGCTTGTGACATAGGTATTAACCAAATATTTCTTGGGGTTGTGTGTATCATATAAATATTTTTAACCTAATGCTCACTTAACATAATTTTATTATTTAATATAAAACTTCGTATAACAAACTTCGCTAATACAAAGATCGAACACTCAGAAAAAAATCCTTCGATCCAGCCGGATTCGAACCGACGTCTTCTAGCTTACCGTGCCATACGCTATACCAACTAAGCCACGGAACGAACCAGCGGACCTCACGAAGTTTTCTATGTGCTTGCGTCGTGTCTTTGTATTTGGTTTTTCAACGACTTTTTAGTCGTAGCGCCATCTATGAGAAATCTATGAAAGATTTATCACCCAGTTAGTACCTTTACAGCTACCAGTCCTGGCGAGAGATGTCGCTATTTACTGTATTTTAACTTTTTATTGATTTTTTTTTATTAGAAAAAATTTTAGTCGTAGCGCCATCTATGAGAAATCTAATAAAAATCTTATTGAAAAACCAAATAAAAAGACACGACGCAAGCACATACAAAAATTCGTGAGGTCCGCTGGTTTGTTCCGTGGCTTAGTTGGTATAGCGTCTGGCACGGTAAGCTAGAAGACGTGTCGGTTCGAATCCGGCCGGATAGATGGAATTTTTTCTGAGTGTTCAATCTTTGTATTAATAATTAGAACAAACTAGTGGAGTAATTTCACAAAAAATAATTGAATATCAATTCAATAAAAATTTAAAACATCGCTTAGTATAACAAACGTTTAATATAAACTTACATTCTATAAATTCATTCTCATCATTAACTCGAACACTCATTTTAAAATTTTAATTATAAGTTATCAACCTCAATTTACGTTACAAAATAGATTATTAAACTGAAATAAATTTGATCTAAAACATGTTCGGAATCGATAACAAACTGCCTCCGTAGCCAAACGACTACCATGCTGGTCTGCCACGCAGAGGTCATGACTTCGATTTCCAGGCCAAGATAAATTTTTGTATGGCCTACATTTATTTCTCTTGTGACCAAACGGTGCAATTTGTGGTAGGCCACATGTATGTCCATGGCACCCGCAGCAGTGTGTGTGCGTGTTTAGTTTTATATATTTTAATTCACTTCTGGCACTTACCAGCCGCTGCTGCGGCATGATTGCTTCGCTCGCTCGACTCGTGCTGCTTTTTCATATTCTAACCTAACCTAACCCAAAGTTCACGATTTGAAAAGCAGCGTTTTTTAGCCGCTCACGCGATGCGCTCATCCAACCGCAAAATGGCGGCTATTTGGTTTCGCAAATTAGAAAAGGATTCAGTTTAAATACAAGTTTTTATAAATAAAAATTATTATTCTGCATTGCTAAATAAATTCCCTCCGTACTACAACAAAAACATCTGAAATAAAATGCAGTGCAGTAATACACCGCAAATCCTGCACTTAAAAAGCACTAATGAAATTTTTGGTGTACTTGGGTAAATATGATAATATTCCGTTTGAGTGGTTCTAATGTTTACCATGAAATTACTCCTTAAAGTATATATAGTTTATAAACATTTATATTCAGGGTAAACTTAAAAAACGCTACTTACGTTATGTTTTCAATAAATAAACACCGACATCACTAGCCCAAACAATAACACACACGATTGTCGTGACGTATTTTTGAAGTTGTTTATTTTTTAAATGACAGACCCAGGCATTAAAAACTTTATGGTTTGCTAGAGTTGTTACCGAAATAGCAATTAGTGTTAGTTATTTTACCTGTTATAACTTCGATATCCGATAAATCGGTATAAAATCATAGTAGTATGCTTCCAGAGACGCATGAATCGCGTGATCGGTTAAATAAGTGCGCATTTGACTTCCATGTCACCTGATGGGGAAATAATGCATATTCGCTCATGCCTTGAAAAGGTTGACGTTATAGCGTTCCGGGAATAAGTCAGCAGGTAGGGAATTCCACTCTCTAGCCGCTCGCCATATAAACGTGGAGGCGAAACGCTTCGTGTGAATCTTGGGAATATCCATACAACATAGGAGTGGCATACCAGGCCACGTCTAGTCCCCCGATGATGGAAAGGGGAGGCGGAATCACATTATGCAATTCCATCGTACACTCTCCGTGACATATCCAGTAAAATACCGATAAGCAGGCAACTTGTGTTTAAGGCTCTGCGGCTTCACCTCTACTAATTCCGAGTCACCTATAACCCTTTGGCACGCTTGTCGATTGAATCCAAGGTATGCAGCAGAAAGAGAGTTACGAACAGTACAACTCATGAGCAACTCATCCTCCTATCGCCCGATGTTCAGAAAAGTAGCCTTCTAAGACCACTCGAATCGAACGTTCACTCAAGAAATCCGAAATCCAATTGCAAAGGACAGTGGGAAGCCCGTAAGAGGGAAACTTGCTTAAAAGGTTTGCGTGCCAGACCCTGTCAAAGGTTTAAGAAATATCTAAAGACATTGCAAGGGTTTCGCCATGTCTTTCTATAGCCTCGCTATGTAACGAGGTGAGAGGCATACACAAGAAGATCCTCATTAGATCGCCCTCGTTGAAATCGCTGTATTCAAGATACGACAGGATACGGTTATTAACATTCGTTCCATAGACTTGCATAGTATGGAAGTGACTGAGATAAGTCGATAGTTGATAGGATCAGCTCTGCTTCCTTTTCTGGGCACAGGTTGCACGTTTGTAAGCTTCCACGACATGGGACCTACACCAGTCTCAAATGAGACGCGATACAAGCGTAAAGCTGAACTCGATGCTAAACGTAACAAGATAAAGGACCGCTCACCCTCGGCCATTAATTACGTCGGCGATGTACTCATGTGTCCTTAATGTGCACGAGGGTTTACTACGAAGATTGGCTACACTAGTCATCTGCGAGCGCATCAGCGCCTACCCAACCAGAAGTCAAAGGATCGCTATGATCCAACACGGTCAAATAGATACATACAGCAGGCAGCTTAGGTTTTGTATTTAGAATTGTAAGAATAACAGAGAGTTGATGTCAAACAGATATTTATGAGTTCTGGACAAAGCTTTGAAATTGAATACTCGTATGAAGTTAAAATTATGATATAATCGTAGTTTACATTTATAAAGTACCTCTCGCTACGCTACCTGAGCTACGTCCTATGCTATAAGTGGTGGAGGTCGCCTTACAAGTGGTGTACGATCGCCTTACGTGGAAATTCCAATGTGGAAAAATTTTTATGATTTTACGAAAAATCTCCAAAGGGAGGAAGAGGAAATCATATATAAGGTCGTAATTTTGATTTATATTAGTTATTTAATAGTTTTATTTCTTGTGCAAGTGAAAAGAGGAAGAAAGAATATGCATTGTATTGCGGCGCAAAAGTTTACGGGGTTCAATGGTGTAAATGAATTTCTAAACCAGTTTTAGGCGATCAGCGCATTAAATAATTGGTCAGACGTGCAAAAGAGGTACGTGATTGCATTGTATTTGGAGGGGCCAGCTCTACAATGTTACAAAACGTATTTTGCGTCATACGCAAATATTGGTGTTAGGAAATGTTATTGATAGGGTAATTTGCGTGTTGATTTAATTTGTTCAAAGAAAGTGAGAAAGTTGGGTGGAACGTAGATAGCTGCAGGACGAGGACTAAGGCAGCTGGGAAGTCAATATTGATGTTCCCCAATGGACGCCCGATGGGTGCTCAAGCCTGTGATGTCGTCGTAACAGCGTGCACGATGAGGATTGTTATTTGTTTCGAATTATATAAAGATTCTGGTAGGATTTAGGTTAGGTAGAAAGCTAGAATAAAGAACTAGGGTTTTATAGTTGGGATACCTAAATAGCTAGGATAGCTAATAAATATATTTAAATTGTTTAATTAGGATGTGGTCATAGTCTGTCCTTTTAGATAGGTTTTTGGCAGATTAAAGCCACAGCCTTCTCGGTGGTTTTGTTTGTTAGTAAGTGATAGCTTCCGAGCAGTGTATGGCTAGCCTATAGTAAAGTCTGATCACATATGTATGTTGCCTATCATAGGTAAGGCACTAGCTAGGGATGTTCACCCCTTCAGTTGTGAGGAAGAGGGATGTAATACAGGCAGCTTAGGTTTTGTATTTAGAATTGTAAGAATAATAGAGTGTTGATGTCAAACAGAGATCTAGGAGTTCTGGACACAGCTTTGAAATTGAATACACGTATAAAGTTAAAATTATGATATAATCATCGTTTATATTTATAAAGTACTTCTCGCTACGCTACCTGAGCTACGTCCTATGCTATAATATATACAGACTTTTTTTTGCGTGGGGAAATC